AAAGCTATTGTAGCTCTGGCCCGTACTTTTTTGCATTTATGAGGATGTAAAGAGCCTTTTCGTAGTTCTCTGTCCACCTTTTAAGGGGTTCTTGCACAAGTACCACCCACCAAATTCTGCTTACAACTCATTGGTCCAGAAGTTAGTAACATGGTCACAGCTAACTGCAAAGGAAACTGGGGAATATAGTCTTTGGCCGGGTATAACATTTGAATAGTATCAAGGTGCTGCTGTTATGGAAGGAAGGAAGAATGGATGTTGGATACACAGCTGGAAGCCTCTGCCATATCGGGCATATGTCTCCATCTGTTTACTTTCAACATTTTTTTTTTTAAACGTGACCGGTAAGGGGGTCTTAACCCTTAACTTGGCCACACTCTCCCAACTGAGCCACAGGCTGGCCCTCCTTTCAACATTTCTATGTCCTTATATTTTAGGTATGTATCTTGTAAGCTAGATTTTGTTTTGATCTATCTGGCTGGTATAGTCTGTTTATATTGTGATTGCTGATATATTTGCTGATATATGGATTTATTTGTGACATGTACTTTGTGCATCTACTTTCCTTGCTTTATTTTTTTCCTTTTTCTGTATTTTATTAAAGTGATTAAAATTTTTCCCCTTTTCTCTTCTAGTGGTTTTAAAGCTATAGAATCTCATTTTAACTTATGTTGGTTATCCTTAATGTAATAATCATGCTTGACTCAAAGTCTAAAATTAATGTTTTATTTCCCCCCCCCCAACAATCCAGGGAACTTTTCTTAAGTATCCTCTTCTTAACTTGTTTTTGTTTTGTTTTGAGGTGTTGGAAAGGTTTTTTGGCGGGGGGGGGGGGAGTTTGGGGGAGGTTAATCACTGCACAATATAAACATTTTTTGTGGCTCTTTACCAATTTCTCCTTACCTCCCCTCATCCCCCCACCTTTCTCACCTCTGGTGGCCTTGGTTCTTTTCTCTCCTTTTGAATATTCAAGGAATTATTGTGACTATATCTTTCTTCCTTTTTTTATTTTTTTCCTTTTCTTCCCCAGCTCCCACTTATGAGTGAGAACATGCAGTATTTTTCTTTCTGTGCCTGGCTTATTTCACTTAACATAATTTTCTCTAAATTCATCCATGTTGCTGTGAATGGCAGAATTTCATTCTTTTTTATGGCTGAGTAGTATTCTGTTGTATAAATATACACCACTTTTCCCTTATCCAGCCGTCCATTGATAGACATTTAGGTTGGTTCCAACTCTTGGCTATTGTAAATAGAACTGCAATAAAATGGGAGTTCAGATATCCCTTCAACATGATTCTGGTTACGTTGGTTAGAGTGCAGCCTTAGGTCACAGGTTCGGTTCCCCAGAACTCCAGCCACCGAAATAAATAAATCAGTCAATCCTCTTCTTAACTTATGTGCCATTATCCAGTGTTTTAGCTCAGGTTTTCTTTGTTTACCAGTTGGTTTGCTCGCCACTGCACCTGCTTCCTTCTGGATTTAACTGTCATCTTTTCGAAACATACTTTAGTAGCCTTGGGAACAGTAAAATTACTCAGGTTTTGCCTGGAAATGTCCCTATTTAGTCCTATTTCCTTCATGATAGTTTGTCTATGTATATAACTCTAGGTAGAGAGTTTCCCTCAAAACTTTGAAGATGTCGTTCCATTATTTCTGATGTTGCTGTTGAAATCCTCAGTCTGATTATTGTCCCTTTTTTTGGAAATCTCTTTCCTGTCTGCTTTATTAAGAAAATCTTTGTTTTTGTTATCTACAATCTCACCACACTATGTCAAGTATATTCAATGTATTTTCATTTGTATGTTTGGGACTTAGGTTTCCTGGATATGAGGATCTGTCTTCGATCATTTCTGGAAAACTCTTAGCAGTTTTCACTTTGAGTATTGTCTCTTCTTGCATTCTCTTTGGTCCCTCACTCTGATTATCTGCATGTTAGAAGTTCTCATTCTATCCTCCTCATATTAGCCTCTTTTTTTTTTTTTGACAGCTGGCCAGTGCAGGGATCCAAACCCTTGACCTTGGTGTTACGAGGCTGTGCTCTGAACAACTGAGCTAACTGACCAGCCTCTCTTTCATATATTTAAAATCTCTCACTGTGCACCTTGTGCTGGGTAATTTCATCACAGCACTGTCCTATCTAATTCTTGCTTCCACTGTTTTATTTTGCTTTTTAAGCATTTGTTCCACTTATTTCAGTGCTGTTTTTCATGTCTACAAAGCTGCATGTGGTTCCTCTTATTTTTCATAATGTCTTGTTCTTATGGTTCCAATTCCAACTTTTACATGTATTTGGTTTTAATCCAACTTATTTCATAGTTTTATTTTATTGTTATTCTCTCAAATTCCTGGCTGTGTTCGTCTGCAGTCATTTTGTCTCTTTCTGCTGACTCTAATAGGATGGCTTCTCCTGTGCTTTGTAATTTTATATGATGAGCTCATCTTCAGGTTTTTAGTGTGTTTTTGTGTTTTCCTGAATTCTGCGTGGCCTCAATTTGGGGAGTTGTTCAAAAGAGTAGTTTTGTGTCTGCTTCTCCCATTTGCTTTAGAAATATCACAAGCCTGGGATTTTATACAGATTTCTTGCTTGATAGTACCTGCAAGTACATTCAGACGCATGTGAGTGAGAGGTGCAGCTATCAGCCATAGTTTTTTAGGTTCTCACAAGAGACTTCTTTTATTCCCACTCATGTCCCTTTGTTATCTTCCTTTAAAGTGGCTAGGGTGTTTCTGTTGGTGGGTTTGAGTTATTTAGTTCCTAATCCTCAATACTCACCCTGGGCCTTTTACTAAGCAGGGAGCCTTTGAGGATCCTAGCGGCCCTCTTCCTCTTTTGAGCCCAGGCCTGTCTCTTGTCCGTGGATGAGTATCAAGACCCAGAGCCCTGGCTGTTCTCAGGCCCATTTTCCCTTCAGTTGCTGCAACATCAGCTCTTGCACATAATCTTCTTCATTTCTGATGCACAGGACTCTTCTTTCCATCTTACTGTTCAGCCATGCAATAAAAAAACATCAAATCACATTTTATCCAGCGTTTCTCGGTGTTGATGGCTGCAGCGTTTCCATTTTTGCTTATCAACCTTCCTGTGTGAACCAGAAACTTTAAGTTAATCTCTCTAAGCCTCAGGGGTCTCCTCTGCAAAGTAACAGTACTTCTGTCATGGGCTTCTCATGAGGACTTAAATGAGATAAAGTAGGTAAAACGCTTAGCATGGTGCCTGGCATATGGTAGAAACTCAAGACATAAGCTACTGTCATTGTTCTAGAAAATTTGGAAAGTTTGAAAAAGTATAAAAACCATAATACCTACTACACTGACAATTATGGTTAGTGCTATAATATATTTTTAACCTTTGTTCATATGTATATGCATACCTAACTCATAAGGCAGAAGTAGTGCTGTACGTACAACTTTGCACCTGCTTTTCTTGTCTGATCAGCATCTCAGTCAGCTCAGGCTGCTATAACAAATACAACAGACTGGGTTTAAACAATAGACATTTATTTTCTCACAGTTCTGGAGGCTGGAAGTCTGAGATCAGGGTGCCAGCACGGTTGGGTTCAGGTGAGGGCTCTCTCCCTGGCTTGCAGACAGCCCCCTTCTCACATAGGGAGGGGAGGGGGAGACAGAGCTCTCTGGTGTCTCTTCTTTTTTTCTTTTTTTTTTTGACCAGTAAGGGGATCGCAACCCTCGGCATGGTGTGGTCTGCACCATGCTC